AATTTTAATGATATATTAAAATCAATAAATCTCTCAAAAATAGCCCAAGGCTCCACACAACATATATAAAACCTCAAAAACAACAACAAGGAAGGAAAATTAACTCAGCATAAGACAGCATCTTCTTTAGTCCAAATTTTTGATAAATATATTAATACATCAATTTAAATTTATTTATTTAATTATTTGCATACAGAAAAATCCATAATATAATTATTTCCAGAAAATATCAAATCAACAAATACACGAAATTCACATAAAATTCCAAGTCGCAATCATACCAAATTATCATATAAATGCAAACACAGCAAATAAGGAATGATGCATGACAAATTAAGGATTTAATAAGTTTCCACAATTTTTCAATTTAATACATAAGGGTGTCTACGAATTTTTAACTGATATAGTTTGCACATATAAACCAAGTACGTACTCGTCACGTTGCGTACATAGTTTTCCAATCACACAATTTTCATATAAGACTCAATGCCTAGGAAAAATTCCCCCACACAAGGTTAGGCAAGATACCTACCTTTTTGAAGTTAGGCTGATATTTCAAAATAGCTTTCTTGCTTGAATTTACCTCCAGACAACTCAAATCTATCCCAATTAATTGTATAACTTCATTAAAATTCATAGAAAAAAATTTCGGATAATAAAATGTCGACTTAAAATTTCATTCTAAAATGTCAACCAAAGTCAACGCGAGGCTCGTCTCTTGGAACCCGACAAAAGTTTTACGAAATCCGAATACTCATTCCGATGCGAGTTCAACCATACCAAATTTACCAAATTCCGATAACGAATCGACCTCCAAATCTTAATTTTTTATTTTATAAAATTTATATAATTTTTTCCAAATTTTCATCTCAAAATACTAATTAAATGATGAAAACAATGATATAATCATGTATATTAACCAAATCCGAGTTAGAATCACTTACCCCGATGATTTTCTTGAAAATCCCACGAAAACTCGCCACAAACTGAGCTCCCAAAGTCCAAAAATGAAAAATAAGATGAAACCTTCGTTCATATAGTACAAAATCTGATCCCCATTGTGCTTACCGCACATTTTCTTGTGCGGTCACACATCTCAGGTGCTGCGGTCGCGCTCTAAATTGTGCGGCCGCACTTCAGCAGCTCTGCACTACTAGGTTTCAGTAAATTGACATATAACTTTCTCTACATATGTCCAAATAATTAATGATATACCTTTCTGGAAACTACATTCAAATAGCTACAACTTTCATTTTTGAATTATCTCCAAATTCCTTGTAGATTAAACGATATAAGCTTCCAAAGTCAGACCATCGAATATGCGAAATTACCTTTCTGCAGCCGCGAGAAGAATTATGCGGACTGCACAATTTCAACTGCGGTCCACACAATTTCAACTGCAGTCCGCATATCTTCAAGTGCGGTCCACACAATTCCTACTGCTACATCACTTTGGGAGTTTGCGGCCGCACTTCTACACTAAAAAATGTGCTCTCCGCACTTCAACTATCCCATAACATCGTTAGAGTGCCGAAATGCCAGGACTCGCTCAGAACTCACCCGAGCTACTCGAGACCTCAACCAAACATATCAACAAGTCCTAAAATATAACACGGACCTGCTCGAGGCCTCAAACCACATCAAACAACGTCGGAACTATGAATCACACCACAAATCGAACTCATAAACTTCCAAATCTTCCAACTTTCAAAACTCGTGCCGAAACCTATCAAATCAATCCGGAATGACTTTAAATTTTGCACACAAGTCATAAATGACATAATAGAGGTATTCAAATTTTCAGAATTGGATTCTGGCCCCGATATCAAAAAGTCTACTCCCCGGTCAAACTTCCAAACTTAAATTTCTATTTTAGCCATTTCAAGCCTAATTTAGCTACGGGCTTTCAAATAATTTTTCGGACATGCTACTAAGTCCAAAATCACCACATGGAGCTGTTGGAATCATCAAAACTCTATTCCGGAGTCGTTTGCTTAAAAGTCAACTCTTCGGTCAACTCTTTTCTTTTAAGCTTCTTAAATAAGAATTATTCTTCCAATTTGATCCCGAATCATCTGAAATCAAATTTGATCACACACGCAAGTCATAATACACATCACAAAGTTTCTTGGGACCTTAAGTCGCTGAACGAGACGCTAATTCATAAAATGATAAGTCGAGTCGTTACATTGAGTGACTGGGAGGACTGAGTGAAATGATACTTTGAGAGTATGCATATGGGTTTATCACTGAGTTGCATCGCATTGACATGCACATTTGGCATACAGGCATATAGATGCATTTTTCTCATGCTATACGGTATCACGTCATTCATGACTTCTCACACATATTGGCATATAGGCATAGTGATGCATTTTTCACTTGCTATCTGAAAAGAAAATAAAACATCTTATTTATTGTTGAAAGGATTTTTGGAAAAATTACTGTTTTCAAACTTACTCATATTTTTGGCAACTTCCATAAAGGACTTGAGTTTTCACTAATACATTTGAGAGACAGAACTATTTTCAGAAATCATGATTAAGCTGAACATTTTATCTCTAAGTTACTTCTTTCATTACTTGCTTTACGTTGTTATGGACAGTTATTGACTATTGGTGTTGGACCCGACCTTTGTTCCAGCTCGTCACTACTTTAGGTTAGGTTTGTTACTTATTGAGTACATGGGGTCGGTTTTACTCATACTACACTTCTGCACCTTGCATGCAGATATTGGATGCTGATGTTGCTGGGATCGACGTGAGATGGATTTGAAGACGTACCTGTGTTCCGGTCGTAGCTGCCTCTTATTCATGGTAGCCTTAGATTTATAAAAAGTCTGTTTATGTACATTTCGAACAGATGATGTATTTATTTCGTACCAGCTTTGCAAATTCTAATCTTAGAAACTCATGATTTGTACTACCAGTCATTAGGACTATGGTATAAGATTTAGATATCTTATTTTACTTAATTGTCTTGTTAAATTTCATTGGAATTGGATAGTTGATAACTGGTTTACCTAGCGGGTTGGGTTAGGTGACATCACGACTAGTTGAATTTTGGGTCGTGACAAGTTAACATAGTCACGGGACAATGTTGGCCTTCAACAGTAGAGAAGCTACGTGGACGACCTCGTGATGGGTCGTGATAAAGGGATGGTAGGGGCTTGTAGTAGTACTAGCTAAGTCCACGAGAAGTGAAGTACAAAAAGAGGCGTCGGGTTGACGCTTGACACATTCAAGAAAGGGTATTATGTGTCTAACAAAAAGTTTTCCAAACTTATCTTCCTCCAAAGCCGCATGTACAAAAGTTAGAGCGGATGCAAAAGTAGTGAAGCCTTCAGAACTATCCATAGTGCATCCAAAATTTACAAGTAGATCAGCCACCCTGTTTTGCTCCCTGTATGTATGTAGTATGATGGGATTATCCAGCTGCCGGAGCACGTACCTGCAATCCATAAGTATATTAGAAAACAAGGGGTGAGAGCTGTGTAGGAGGGGGAGAACTTCTTTGAGCATCTATATGGACTTTTAGAGGTTTAAGTCCATGTAAAGAAGCGAGTTTGAGTCCATATAATAGTTCAAGGAGCTCAATATGTAGTTATTAAACTACAAGTAGTAATAATAAATTTTTGGTTTTTCACCATGGCGATCGATACTTACTTTGGAGCTTCGACAAATTTGAATTGCAAGTAATAATTGAAATAATATTTGAAGATCATTTCAAATGACTATTTATTTATTGAATTGGCCTATTATTTAGCTTCAAACTTGAAATATAGCACTTGCAATTTTATGAACATGTTTTAGGAAAATTTCAAGTTTTGCAATTTTTCACTCACAAAACTTGAACTTTATTTTATGTCGAGACATAATTTGAACTTGCAATTCAACTTTAACTCCAAATACTATTTTCTTTTCAAATCAGAACTAAATGATGTCCAAACACCTATTAATAGCCTGTTTGATCAAGCTTTTGGGAAGTCAAAAGTGATTTTTTCCAACTTGGTGGGAAGCCAAAAATATTTTTTTAATATATATATATATTAGAGAGTTTAAGTGTTTGGCCAAACTCTTAGAAAAAAAACTTTTGGGTAGTAGCAGAAGCTGAAAAAATAGCTTTCCCTAAGAAGCATATTTTGAACTTGATCAAGAACTAATTGCTGCTCTAAAATTAGCAAAAATATTTTTCAAATTGATTAACCAAACACAAATTACTACTATCAAAAAGTACATTTTCGAAAAGCATTTATGTAAAAAGCATTTTTCAAGTTAAATGGATTTTGAAAGTTTGGCCAAACATGTTATAATGCACTAGCCATTCCATACAGAGAACATACTTTATCTATCACATAGGCCATAGGCTCATTAAAAAAATAATGCATTCAGCCACACAAATAAGTCGAAGAGCATACGAACATTCATACACATGGATATCAAGAAATTAAAAAGGACCCAAAAAAGAAAAAGAAATTAGCTAGCATAATTTTCTCGTTCTAATTGCGTATACTTTAGGGGTCATTTGATTATAGGGGCTAGAAAATATTCTAGTATATATAAATTCTCTCATAAATAATACAGTATTTGATTGAAGGGATTAAAAAATACTGTCCATCGAATAATTACTACAATATTAAATAATATATGCATGCATTAAGTTATGCAAAAATTTATTCACACAAACATTACAAAATATTATCATTTACCGCATAATAATCTTTACACTATATTTTATCCATACAATAACAACCAATTTATTATTATACCCTACATAAATAATTCATGCATTACAATCTCACATAACTAGTATTTTAACCAAACAAAGATTTTGAAAATTTATACTCAAAAATAAATAAAAGAATCTTTCTTGTCTTTATTCCACGTAGGCAGGTAAGACCGTTGATAACCGCCAAATGAGAAAACGGCTGCAACTGAATTTAAACCCCCGCCAAAACCCCTTCTCTTTAAACTTCACTCTCTTCTCTGCTTCTCTCTACAATGGCTTCTCCTCCGAATTCCAAAATTGACAAACCCCTTTCCGTAAAGTCAGATATTCTTCCAAAAAGAAACGACAAGCTCCGCCCTGTAATGGCTGATGATGACCACAAGCCCCGGAAGAAAGCCAGAGCTCCTCGAAATTTCGAAAAAGACGCTCTTCGAATGCAAGCCAGAGACATTCTTGGCTCTCCAAATCATGACGCTATAGAAACACTCATTGCTAACTTAGCATCACCTATTGAAACAGTTTTATCAGAAGCCGAAAACTTGTACTATTTCTTAAGGCGTGAATACCCAAATGCCTTGTCTTTGAAAATTTCAAAGGTTTTACTTCACTCTCTGACTCGCCCTAAAATCAAATCCGAATGTGCATCTCTTCTGCAGAATCTGATCGATTCGCCAAGTCATTATGAGAGTGTGTGGAATTTCATCTCCCCCATGATCAAAACCGATCTTAAAATCGCGTTTCTTGAAATTCTTAGACAAGAAAATTCCAGTAGAATTTGTAAGCCAATCTGGAAGACAGTATCTGAGGTATTCAACTGTATTATTACCAAGGAACAAGGCGAGTGGCCGGGTATGCTCAGTTGCTTTTACGAGCGTCTACGTTCCGGTCCGTCATACGTTCAAGATTTTGCCCTTATGTTCTTTTTGAAGTTGCCAATGTGTCTACGTAAACAATTGGAACCTTATGTTAACAATCTCTATTTAGACTTCTTGGATAAGCTTAATTCTTTCAATGAAATGAGAAAACGTTTAGCCTTGGCTGCTTCAATTCATCTTGTTGGACAAATGTCTAGTGATTATTATTTTCTGTTAAATGGTCTACTAATGCCAATGATAAAAGGGGTATTGAGTTTTCTCATTAATGATAACGAGGAGGGGTATGCGCAGGAAAGTCTACGGAAATTAGTCGAGTTAGCTTGGGTTGAGCCAAGATTTTTCGAGTCACATTTGGATGAAGTGTTTGATACTATGGTTACCATTGCTGAGAATAATCGATTCTTAGAAGATACAAGATATCTTGCTGTAGAAATGATGAGCGCTTTTGATGATTATGTGATAAAAAGGGTAGGTAAGAAGATCCTAAGAAGGCTGTTTTTTGAGTTGGTTGAGATGATTTCGCGTATTGAGGATGATCCAATGGGTGATGTAGACTATGTGAATGGTTTATGTTTGGGAACTTCGCAAAATTATCTTCTTGGAGTAACTTTTATGTATAGGATTTCAATGGCAACGGGTGATCAAATTCGTATGCCTGTTTTACTCAAGGAATTGCCAACTTATATGGCTGCAGCGGAATGGCAGAAACGATATGCAGCAGTTACAGTCATTGGTGTCATTGCAAACGGATGTGCAAAGGTATATGCCAAAGTTTTGCATATTGTTGAATTTAATGCTTTTCTTGTGCGCTCAAGACTGCTCCTCGTTTGGATATATGCAGTTTGATCAGAAAATTGATTGCTAAAAATGGTCACTTCTACAAGTAGATTGCTAAGCATATACACATTTACATAACATATATAAATATATGTGTATGTGTGTATGTAGTATATGTATATGATAGGATAGTTGGTTTGGAGAATGAATACTTATTTATTCTTTCTAAGTTGAACTCCTTTATAAGTCGTGACTCTAATTTTACCTAAAGTACCGTTGGAATTCTTTTATTCCTCTCAGGCGATGAGGGATCATCTTTCTGAAGTGATGAATATGGTCTTGAAATCAATGCTAGATTCTTCTCCCCATGTTCGTCTTGCTGCTATTGGAACAATTAAAGCTATGAGTTTAGAACTGTCTCCAGATCTGCTAGATAAACACGGTCACAGGCTTATTGCTTCGCTATATTTGGCGCTTGCAGATGACCACTATCCCGACAGACAGGTGAGGAAGAATAATCTGTGCTAATAGCGCTTTTCATTTTCTCCCCAATTCATTTGTCAAATTCAAATATTTAATGGTATTTTCCTTGTCAGTATCATTTGACGTGGAAGCGACTACGACATGGTTTTGTTCGTCTACTTTAAGTCGTAATTCTGATGAAATTCTGCTACGATCATCCTCCTTATTATGAACTCTCTTATTGTTTTATGACAAAAAATCAATTTTTGTAGGCTGTTGCTGCTTCGGCAATGAATTACCTTTGTGAGGGTTGCAAGTCATGCATTTTAGAACCTTACTTGGACAAAATTGTGAGCAAATTACTTGCCCTCATCCAGGTACACAGTTTATAGCAAATTACGCTCCTACATTTTGCTTTAGACAGTTTATAGTGTGCTGGACTATGAATTTAATGAGTGAAAAGTACTGTTCCATTACACTGATAACTTTGAATTAGATCAGCATAAAGGTTTCTAGGAAAAAGATATACTCGTACCATTGTGTACTAATTTGAAGGTATTTAGATTTGAGTTGCCATTTCCTTTTGCATTGGCATTTCCTTTAGCTTAAAAATGTTGTTTGCTTTTGTTTAATATGATCACTTCACTTATATAACCGTTGCCTCCTGTTAGAGCCCAAGTCCTGTGCTGAAAGCTGAGGCCTTAAACACTCTAGCATTGGTTGCAAGATCATCAAAGGTCCATCTTGATAGAAACTCTGACTTAGTTTTTCCTTAGCGATCCCGATTTGATGGTGGTATCTGACAAGCTTTTGGACAGGATATCTTCACTAAATGCTATGATCTGGTCATCACTTACCTAAAGAAATTCTTAGCTGATGCAATGATTTGCCCATCGGCTGCAAGTAAATCGCTACAAGACAATGCTCTTGAGTGCATTTGGACAGTTGCAATGGCTGTTGGAGAGGATATATTTAAGAAAGATGCTGCAGAGGTGATATTTCTCTGTTACTTCTTTTACAAGAACTCAAATCTGTAGTATTTAAGGTCTATCGACATAATTATAGTTTTGCCTCTATAACTAATTTTATTGAGAACTTTCATGTATGTCAGGTCGTGGTCCTTCTCTTGTCTGTGCGATGGTATCTAGCGGAGGATGATCATCGTTTGAAAGTCACGCTTCTACGAGTATGTATGATCCAAACCATTTGATGAAAATGAAGTGTACTTTACCTAAGTGCTCCAATATAATGTGTTCTCTATTTATGTGGAAGGCATGGGCGGAGCTTCTTAGTTGTTTTGGATCTGGTTTTTATCCATATGTGAAAGATCTTATGCCTAATTTGCTCCAGTCTGCTAGACTTGGCTTTAGAGATGAAGAAATCGACGAAATAGTTGATTGGAGGTTCGTCTCTTCTTTATATACTTTTATCTGTCTAATGATCGCCAAAAGTTATGCTCAAACTTCAAAATTGTTTCATGACTAATTGGATGGTTAGTTTCCACACTTTTCAGCTGAAAATTGTACTATATTTCTGCTAAATAAGTGACCGGAAATGGCATTATACATATGCTTAAGTTGGCAACTAGAATTAATAGGTAACGAAATTTAGCATAGATAAGTAGTATTGACCGGACAAGTTGTTGTGCGGAGCAAGAATAAGGTGGATTTTTCCAGCTGAAATTTGAAGACTTGTTTCCTTAAGATTCTTAACATACTTTGGCTTTCTACTAACACACTGCAGTTCTCTACAGTGCCAGAGAACGTGTTGTTCTGACGGAGAAACTTATGGCGTGTAAAGTCTTGTTTCGCTTAACTAGTAAGTTCAAAGAAAATCTCTTCCCATGGATCGATCAGGTTGGTTTTGAAGCTATGGTTTTTTCATTCTGCATATGACTTTTTTATTCAAATTTGACATTATGTAAATGTTATTTGCGCAGGTTTCTGACATATTGATACCACTTGTGATATTTCATGATGGTGATATTAGAAATATAGCTGTTTCAGGTATCTCCCTTTATTTCATTCTCCCTATTCTTTGATTTTATCTGTTCTTTTTCCCTTCTATTATGTATTTATAATACCTGATTTTTGTCCAAGCCATGCCAAAGCTGTTGCTTTCAGCAAAACTTTCTGTTGAGAAGAAAGAAGCAATTTGGAGGTTACCTAATTGTTGTTCAAGCCATTCCCAAGTTGCTGCTTTCAGCCTTACAAATTCCTATCTGAATAAACTGGCGCGCCGAGTTGTACCATCCCTACTAGAAGCTTTGAATAAGGTAACCTCCAGTATTTATTCTATTTGAAGATGATATCACAGTTTATACCATTTTTTTCATTCTGTTTGTTGTTTTCAGTAAAGGTTGAGTTACATTTTATATGCAGGAAACTGACAGTGAAATTTGCGCAAACATATTGAAATCATTAAGCAAATGTATAAAGGTTGGTCATTTCATAGTTATCAAATGAAAAATCTGTTACTTTCTTTTCATATTTTGGCTGTTTGATATGTGCAATTTGCCCTGACAACTCTCTCTACAGATTGCTGGAGCATTTCTTAGTGAAAAGAAGATTGAACGTATAGCTAATGCGATAATACAGGTGCTGAAAGCAACATCAACAAAACAGTTTTCGAAAGAGGAAAATTCGACTCAGCTGGAAAAAGAAATCATTAAACAGGTCTGAAAAATCTCCGATTACTTATGACAGAATTTTCCTGTATTTCTGTCACTTTGTTAAGCCTTTTTTTGGTACAGGTTGTAAACTACTTCAGCACATTGATCAAGATATATAAGGAAAGATCCTGGACTTTCGTGGACGAACTTTTGGAATGTATAAAAGATATGCTGGTAAGTTATCTTCATCAATAAATACAAGGGAAAAAGAGACCCTTCACCTCCAAAATATACTGCAATTATAAGTTTGGGATCATAAGTTTTTGTCATAACTTGATATGATCTTCATGCAGGGAAATGACACGACGGCAAAAGAGAAGCAAATTGCACTTTTAACCTTCAATGAAGTCTCTCTAAAATGTAAAGGAGCTGCTCTTAGGTAACTTGCTTGATCCTGATTAAATGAAAACAAACATTCTTCGCGCCTGTGGATTAACATATTTTTGAAATAGGTATTCTCGTAAACATCTTCCACTGATCCTGCAAGCCTGCAAAACCGAAAACCAGAATGTCCAAAAGGTTATTAATTATGACTTTCTCAGTCAAACTATACTTTGATGAAACATATATTCTGTTGTCAGTGCAAGAATTGGGAAGAATTTGATTATTTTCTCCAGGAAGCGGCACATGGACTTGGTCTAATTGCAGAATTTGGAGGAAAACAACCTGAAATTCCTTTCACTGGTCAGTTACATCAATGAGTCTCATATTTAGAAAGACTATTCTTTGAAGTGTTCTAATTATTCAAATATCCTTTTCTTCTACAGAAGTTGCTTCCACTCTATGTACCATTATCAAGCAATCGGATAAAGCAACAGCACATGATGTTGCTGTTTCGGTTCTTGGAAAGCTATTGCACTTTCATAATCACGACGAGCAAATTATAGCTGAGGTATCATAATTGTTAATTTTCCGAAACTGTGCATTGTGATTCACATTTTCCTTTTCTGTCCTCTTTAGAAATCTCATATTGTTCAGTGTTCTTCTATAGGTAGTTACATTGTGGTTAGACTCATTGCCCTTAAATAATGATTTGATCGAAGCGCAAGCTGCACATGAACATCTTTCTTTACTGATTGAAAAGTATGTTACAAACTTCCTTATGTGTTCATTCATTAAAATTCTATGTTGTTTAATATTTGGAAGAGATTTTGATTGTCTGACAAACTTGCGCGCTATCATTAAATTTCAGGTTAGATAGAGATATTTTGGGCCTCAACAACGCGAATATTCCAAAAATTCTCGATATCATTGAAGAGGTAAATATTCCATATTCATCAACCAACACTGCTTAACTATATTTCCTATATGAATATTTCTTCAGAAGTATAAGCCTGTACTCTTATTTGCTACAGATATCTTATATACAGCACTCAATTAATTTTCATTCAGGATTAGTAGTTCAGCACTTTATCATTTCTAACTGAATTATATTTAGCAGGTTCTAAGAGACACCACGAATCTGGCAACAGAGGAAACCAAGCACCGAATGATGGAATTCAAGAATTGTATATCCTCTATAGATCTCGCGGTGCAGTTTTTTCCTTCATTCTCCTTTCCTGAGGTTTAACTCTACCTGCTTTGGCAACACCTGCATCAGCAGCTGTTGTGTAGTATCATAATTAGTCTACGATTTGTTGCTCTTCTATACGTTCAAACAAAAATGTAAAACTGTAAAAAGCCTTAGATTGCTGGTTCAGAAGTGTTAATCAATGACTTAATATAATCCAATACACTCTCTGACTTCAAGTAAGACATTTAGTGCAGTCACAAGCCTAGAGCTAGAAGCAGAAACATGAACTTCTTCTCCTTGATTACTGGAATTCAATTACAACGCAAATTAAGAGCAGCAGATTCAGGAATTGCGAGGATGATGATTATTTTGAAGAAAATGCAGAAGAGGTTCTATCAAAAAAGAGAAAAATGAAAATGAGAAAGAGAATTCTTGCAGTAAGACCTTTAAAGAACGATACTACAAGACTTTTTTTGGAACTGGTTCCATTCTAATTCAATTCTTCATTATTCGTCAGACATCAAAATATGCAATTTACAGAAGTTGCATCAGCAGAAACACACCTAACATTAACATGTTGTACACTTAATTATTATATTTGTTCAAACATCATTATCGAGATCATCAATTGTTACAAGTGACATTCGAAATGTACATAATTAGCATTTTTTCCTAAAAGGCACACATAGTTATCCAAGAAAAGATTGGATAGGAATGTAAAATTGAATTGCAGCCATAACATAAAAATGGCAAGTTCCAACCTTACATTCTAAAAGCATATGCTGATTTGAGTTACTAACAACAGTAAGGAGTAAGGACAAACCAGTCCGGTAATTAACCTTATAAATTAGAAGAAATGCACAATGTGAGATTTACTATATAAGAGTGAAACACAAATGCTTAATACTAAGTCACTAAGTTAGGCAGGGGTTAAGGCTGGTCCTAAACCTTGATTTCTTAATCTTGAGAGAGCTTCTTTCTTAATATTCTTGATTAGTAGTTCAAGATAATAAAAATCTTGATCTGGTGGATTTGATTTTAAACAAATTTTGATCTGATTAAGGGCTTCATCAATGTGTTTGATGAGATCTTTGAACAGTCCTTCACGGACTTCCTTAATTGCCAATTCAAGATTATCAGCAGCAGCTTTTATCTTATAGCTAAAATATTGGTAATCAGCGACAAAAAAATCTGATTCTGTCATTCGCGCCAAATCATAGGCCGATTGAAGAGAATCTTCAAGATCATTATGATCAGCCAAAGATATATGAGGGATGAATGTGAATATTAGGAAAATGCATAGAAAGAGGGAAGTGGCACCAGAGAGACACAACCATTTTCTTTTAGTTTCTCTTTTTGGTTTCTTTCTCTTTAGGATGTAATATTTATTTCTCATCTTTAATGAGTATTTAATAATAAAAATTTAACTATAGCTAATTAATAACCTTTTCAGTTACAAGATATGTCTGCTAACTGAATTAGGAGTAAAAGGCTGAATTATTTGGTTATAAATGAAATAAATGCAACATGTTTGTCCATTGAAGAATACATCCGCATGTGATCACTTATTTTTGTGGCAGTAACGGCCATTATATTGTTAGGTGTTTGTCCCGATTTTCTTATCATATTTGATCTCCTATTTTTTGAAGGAAGGACAATATATTTACCGTAATTGATTTTTCTTTTTACGAAAAGAAAAATATAATTTTTTCATATTTGGCTAGTCCTTTTCCTTGTAAGAAAATATTTGGACTTCTATAAATTAAGGATCTTTCCTTCTCATTCAATAGCATCCACAATGTAGACATATGAGGTTTGAGAGTCTTGTTAAGGGGAATTACTTTACGGGACAAGTGTTAGTGTGCCACTTGTGTTTGCCTCTTTGTGAGGTTGTTCTCTTGATATTTTTGTATTCTCTTTTATATAGTGGATTGCTCATCTCTGCCGTGGACGTAGGTCAATTGATCGAACCACGTTATATGTTTGTGCTTCTTTTGATATATTTCTCTTTTGTTGTCTGATTTATCGTCGTTCAAGATTTACTTTACTAGCTTCCACATGACACCTGATTATTTCGATCTTAACATATTGACATATATTTTATATTGTGAGTGACATCTTGAACTAACTTTATATGTGAAGAAAATTCTGCAAAAAAAAAAACTGATAGTCTGATCACTTTAATCTGGTCCATATCCATTTTATCAATGTCTAAACTATTCATATTCCAAGTATTTTTAACATTTACAGAAGTATAAGCCTCTAGTATTATTTGCTATAGATAAATCTTATATACTGCATTTCATTGATTTTCATTCAAGATTAGTAGTTGCACTTTATGACTTCTCGCAACATAACTATTTACCCGAAAAATGGATAGCAATTGAGTTTATACACGATTTTAAGGATACGTGATATAACTTGACACAAATTGAGAAAATATATATATTAATATTGAAATTAACTGTAAAAGAAATAAATGCAAACCAAATGAATCAATTAGCCTCGGCCCTCAAGTTCGATCACCCTCAAACCAAGTGGAGAATAAACTGATACAAGAATAAAATAACTAGATATTAAAAACCAGAAGAAAGGCAGTGTATTGCTTTTTATTGCGTAAAAATATCCTAGCCCTACAAATGATCAGACCCCCTTTATATAGTAGGGAAGTTCTACTCGTGATATAATTCTAAATACAGTAAGGAATCTCATTATAGGTTAATTATTTGGCCTTTCCTTGATATGCGCCGGGATTTCCGCCGTGATTCTCGCCCAATTACGGATATTCCTGCTTTCTATTTTTTGGCTCGATAAGCTTTCCTCGGTCTCGCTCGATCTCTATTTTGTTCGGTCTCGATCTTGGACGGTCCCGATTTCTATCGGTCTCTAGGTTATGAGCTCTACACTCAAACCTCGCATCATAATTCGATATTACACGAGTTCAAACCTTGTCCTATTATGTTCCAATCTCGATTAGTCATACGAAGGGCAATCTCGATTTTGACCGTAGACAGATAGTCCTCTCGTTTCTCGGAAATAAGATGGCAAGAAAAGATATAAATTTTCGAACTCCGACTAGATGGGTAATGACGTCAGTGATGAGCCCGATTATGACGTATGCGATGAAACGTCCCGCCGGTTCAGTTACCAAGGCATTAAATGCCCTTCAGTCGCTGGTCGGCCATTGCCGGTTCTGAACCGTCGCCAGCAACCTATAAGAACCCTAACTTTTCTCATTCAAACTTTTACACTCAAAGCTCTTTCTACTCTTGCTTCTTATTCAGAAAATCCCCTTACTTCACAATTTTCACACCCAAATTTCTAGAAAACTGCACACCATCCTAATTCTCTTTTCCCTTATTTATCAATGGCATAAACTTCCAAAACCGTGCCGGAAAAGGAAGCCACTTCTACATCACGATCCGCCAGTGGTGAGGCTGCGACGGAACCCCACCATGAGGAATTTGTTCTGGTAGGGTGCCCAACAGTCACTGACTTTAAGGTCGAAAAGGCCTCCTCGGTACCGGGTCGATGTGAGCCGGTCTCGAGGAACATATGCTCAATCATCAAAAAGATCCTCAACAAAGTTAAATAGGAATGCAACTGGGACAAAAAGCATCTAGTAGTCCCATTGCCTGAGGAATTGATTACTATCCACGTGGAGGGGTTTCTAAGTGTTTACATTTACCTCTTCACGTTAGGTCCCTTAGACCCTGTCATCGTCGCCTTCTGCAAGAGATACGACGTGACCCTTTGCCAGATCCATTCTTCCTTTTGAGAATAGTGATTCTCCTCATATTTTTCACTAGAAAAATTGAGGGATGTCTTTTCACCCTCGATCACCTTATGCGCCTTTACAAATCCCCAACTCTATCGGGGAGGGCTAATCAAGCTCGTTCGTCGGGCCAACAAAGCCCTGTTTTCGAGCATAGACGAGGCTCGTGACCGAGGTTGGATGGGCCGATTTGTCCAAATAAGGACTTCGGACCTGATTCCTGCACATGTCGTTTCCTGATAAATGGAACATGAACCGTGAGTAATATTTCGCCTTGAATGTTCAATTTTGTTGTTTTGCTTCTTATCTTCTTTCCTCATCTATGTTTTTGGTGTTGCAGTTGTGGCCTAGATGCCGAACAAGATTATGGAGCTCAAGCAATGGGTCGAGGGCCTGGTGTCACAGAAAACATACTCCGAGCGTGCTTGGATGGAGTTATCAAAGGGTCGATGGGAGGCCCGCAATCATGTTAAGTTTCTCTCTTAGAACGGTTATCGTTCGAACTTCTTCTCTTGCTTACTCCTTTTTTTTCCTTTATAGGCCTCGGGAAGGATGTTGCAATGAGGCTCCCATATGGTGACGAAGAAGTCATTCCACTTGCTTCGAAGCAGGCCAAAGAGAAGAAGAGAAAAGGGGCTCCGAGTTCCCCGAGCTCAGAAAAGAAAAAATCGGCGAAGAAGTCTCGCAAGCCCAAGTAAGACTCTGGTGCTATGCCTTCGGACTTAATCTGCCGATTAAGGGACGAGTCCGAAGAAGGAGAAGAGGAAGATTACTCTAAACTAGTGGCCCGTGTGCGGCTTGGTGTTTCGATACAAAATTCCTCTGAACTGGCGGAGGTTGATGAGGGAGCTTTGGCCGAAGTTCCTGAACCAGGAAAAGTTGAGGCCACTCCGTCCTGAGCTGAGATGGTCAAGAAAGAGACCGGGGGCGAGGCTTTCCGGGCAGTGGAAGATGTCTCGAGGGACGAGCTCGGAATGATCGATATTTCTGGATCCCCTCAGATTTTGGACGCTATGATCCGTGAAGCCAATATGTTGGAAGGTCGCTCTTACCAGGGTATCTAGGAGGCGACTGATATCAATGGCTTCTTGGATGGGTTTGAGTCCGCTGCATTGGAGGATGTCACCGGGTTTGGTGGTTTACTGATACCAAATAAAGTACCGTCATCGGGCGCTACCGGGTCTTCATCGAGCCCAAAATTGGTGGATCGATTCCCGGCCCCAAGTATTAACCCTGGCCGCATGCGGAATATAGTGCTTTCTGTCTCGGAGGATGCCCGAGT